AACGGAATAAGGCTGCTACTGATGGAAATGTGCTGTTGGAAAAGCGCAGTCGCTTTTTAAGAAATAGTTTTCTATGGTGATATATAACAGGAGTATTCTTATTCATCTAAATGGAATTATAAATTGTGCTTGAAAGCCATTCACTTACAACGCTAGCAAATAGAAGTGCACCACAGCAAGATTTTCAGAAAGTGCGTCAAAAATTAAAAAATTATTAGTTTGAAACGCTTTTTAGTCTGAAATTCAAGCACCATTTATTGTAAACTGAAAACCGGACCTGCAGTGGCGTGCTTTTGTTTGCGAGCGTTGTAAATGAGACGACGTCGGAGAAAAATATCGTAACACTTTCAAAGGATTCTGGTTCCACCCACTGACCGGCTTTCAGCTTATCTGCTACCACTCTGCAAAAAAGCATTTATATCTAAATATTCATAGTTCACGAAACTTGCTGACCAAGGTACTGTCCAGTCCACTGAAAACATAAAGATCGCCATTAGAGGCGTTATCAGTGATAAGTCAAAATAGAGCATAAAAATCAAACGAACTTAGGTAGCATTCTGTAGAGAAGTAAGTCACTTTTCTTCTTTTCTTCAATTAACTCTTTCATTCGCTCCTGGATTTCGTTTTCCAAATTAGCTGCATGCTCTTCCAGAACAGCAAACACGTGATCCATCAAAGATCTACAACCAAGCCAGAATTACACATATGTACAGTTCAGGTGCTGTCATATATTGTTTTTCCAGTCTTTTCAATTTTTTTGTTGTTTTGTATTTTACCTCTTTTTTTTTCTACTTTGCATTTCATTTTCAACTGCCTTTTTGTTGCGCGGTGATTTTGTGCTGCTACAGTTAGCAGTAACCCATATTGCCGAGAGATCGTCCGTCCGTGTGTGTGTGTGTGTGTGTGTGTGTGTGTGTGTGTGTGTATGTATGTCTGTTCGAAAGCGAATGAACTTTGTCACCCACTATGAACTCAGCAACCAGGGAAGCTGAGAAGCTGCGATTTTGGAGCCGTATTCTCACCTCATGTGTCAATCTTGTTTCTTAAAATCTCCGCTCATACGCTCCCAGATCTCGCGTGCGGACTCTCGAAAAAAAATGCAAATTTCTCTTGCGGGAAACGATTTCATGATCCAGACAAGATAGAAAGCTGAAACTTTGTAGGGATATTCTCTGTGATGTATGAGCCAAAGATTTTAAATTCAAACACTGAATACGCCTATACCGAGGGTACGGTCACATCAAAGTTCGCATTGTGCTAACTCTAAAGCTAGCCGGAAAACAGCAGCGAAATTTTATCAGAATACTTCTTGTTCATGCAGAAAATCGTATACTCAAATTGAGTTTCGCCTTGCACTTGCACTACGATTTAGGGCACTTCAAAAATATTTGTAGCGAAGTGGTCCTTTCGCTCATTGGACAAACTGCAAAGCTGAAACTTTGCAAGGATATTCCATATTTACGTATGGTCGTAGTTCATCTTGGAGGTGAAAGTCCCTGCACGCAGGCATGACAAATACTCAATTTCATCGCAAATTCAAAAGCGAGTGCATTTTGTACATTTCATAATCTTCTGATTTCCTTCAAATTTTTATGCGTTTTGTGCTGTGTAACAGCAGTACAAAACGCATATTGTTACGGGGTCGTCTGTG